GGTCATTTCACACAAGCAGACTGGGCAGCTTGCCTTGTGCTCAGCAGAGGCACCAGCTGTGTCCATTTTTTTCTACTGTGCTACTTACTGCAAAACTAGAAGGAACTCAGACCACCATCCTTTTGCAAAGGCAGTAGAAACTGGCCAGTGAAGTTCAAAATGATTGCAATGGGACAGACAGTGTGCAACTCTAGAAATGTCACATCTTTAGGAAAACAGCTTAAAATTCATGCTGTACCCTGAAAGAGTTATACTGCCAAACAAAAGCGCATCACGAGAGATTTTCTCTCGGTTGTCAACCCCGGCAGACAGATTAAGGGAACTTTGCCACTTGATACTGTCTAGTGCTCTGCCACAGGACTGAGATGCTGTGAATAAACTTTCTTTCCGTGTCCAGGTTTTCACTTAACAGTTGCTGACACACAGCTCCCTGGGCCTGACGCTACTTTCTCTAACATTTCTGTCCAAGTCTTCCTCTCTCTTTGTTTGGACTACTGTAAGCTACTTTCTTATCTCTTCTCCAAAGCGTAATACTCCAACATATGCAAAATGCTTCTGCATGTTGAGTATACACAGAAAAGAAACACGATATCCTAGTTCCTGTTAATTCTTCTAATTTCTGTCTTCAGACTCAAAGCAGAACAGGTGGGGTTTTTTTCAATGTACTGTGGGCTTGCTCCAACCCATTTCAAAGATCCGTCTTCTCTTCCACCTGTGTTTTCCATTAATGTGAACTGGCTGCCATGACAGCTTTCCCTTGCTATGGCTTAACAATACAACAAACATATTGGGTAGGACTCCTCTCACCTACCTTTAGGCATCTACAGTGCAAACACTTATATTTATGCTGATCAGCTAGGTCGGCTATAAGCTCTGGAAAAAAACTAAACACATTCAGGGCACAGTCCATTTTGGTTAAAACAGGAATTGTATCCTCAAAGTATCACTCTCTCCCTCTCTCACTTAAGAAGAAAGCTAACTCAGAGGCAGAGACCTAGAAGACAGATGTCTACATTGACCAGATAAATAAAAACACCCTTGCCCATTACTACTCTCACTTTCCAACTTAACTGAAATCCCATTTGAGAATCAGCTGCTTTCCCTTAAACTGTTCTCTATTAACAATTCACATCATTTTGAGATGTGCCTTATGGGAAAGATGTTGACTAAATGTTTCTGTGTTGCCACTCCATCACAGTTTCTCAAGGTTCAGACTGAGGTTCTTTCCTAGGAGAGAAATTGGTGGATATGTCACACTGATAAATACCATAACATAAAAATATCTATGCAGAAGAACAATTACTTTGTGTGTATGAAAATTAACAGTCCACTGATGCCTCTACTGACTTGTGCATAACTTCCCTTGGAAAGTTAATGCCTGTGAATATGTAACATGCATCTTCTTTTCCCTATTGCTTCCCTATTGTTTTTCACTTTCCATTATTACAGTATTTCTCCACACAACCTGTAAGACCTTTGGTAAAGAGTTAGGTTTGCATGTGAGCATTAAAGATTATTACGAAGGCACAATAATTCCTGTAGTCTGGTTAAATATAATTGTAAGGGGAAGGCAAGACAAAAGCAAAGGGCAGTTCATAATTCATAGACTTCTCACGTTTTCAGCCTTCTCCTGCAGAACCTTGTGTGGGGGAGCAGGTTAGAAATGAAGCTCTCTGCTACTTTGTGCTAAAAGCCTGGGCCAGCCCTCAAGTTGCTGGAATTTATGTAATGATAACCAAATCAATTCAGAAACCAGTTTTGTTAATCTGACACAGACCCTAAGAGTGGATAGCTTTAAACTTCTCTGACAGTGTCTGCAATTACTCTAGCTGAAGAGACACTTCTGAACCAAACCTAATGTTCATGGCAAAAGAGTTACATTAATTTATATCAGCTCCTGATTGAACTGACCAGAATAAATCAGAGCGAGAGGGCACACAATCAGCTCTGCTGGCAGATTCACAGCTTGCTGGAAAGGGGCATGATAAGTCCCTGGGGTTTGGCTGTGAGTAATGCTCTCCTACACCACCATGGCTGGATCCTGCCTAACCACAGTTGCTGACACCCACCAACCTCACATCTTATCCAGAGCTGCTAGGTTTAAAGCCTCTATCAAAAAATAAAAAGCTGTAAACCATGAGAATATACTCATAGTAGAACAAGCTTCAGTCGCTTAAGGTGTCACACCCCTCCCAGCAATTTCTTACCTTCTCTTTGCCTGAGATTACTGCCTCACAGCAGAGTCAGTGCAATGAAACGCATGCACTAGTCCCAGCTGCTTCAATACAAGGTCCAGCAAATTTGTTTAAACTGCTCCCAAACATGACTTTAATACCATATTTTTTAATAAAATGGATTAGGAACATTAGTGTTTTCCAATCCAGGGACTATTGTGGAGGCAGGAACCTTCAGTAAGGAGGCTGAAGAGATGGTCAGGGTAGTAGTTTTTTGCATCACTCCAGCCAGATTTGATGTAGTCTAATCACGGCAGCAGGAAAGGCTATGAAATTTTCATGCTCACAGCTGTCATTCGTCCGCCTTATTAACAGGTTTATGAACTTCTAATTGTCTGGCTGGACTAGATGACCTCCTGAGGTCCCCTCCAACTTGAATTCTCCTAACGTGTATGGCTAGGAACCTGGAGATACAGTTCTCTTCCTCCAGACCCAGTTACTTAGCATATCTTGGCAAACTGTATAGACCCATGCATACCAAAATTTCCCTCTGAGGGATCCAACTAGGCTGACACTGGTATTGCTCTGGTGGTGAGCAACTGCTTTTCAAAGGGAGGTCGGCAGTAGTATGGGTATCCTCTGCCACGAGGAAGTAGCCCTGCTCGACTCAAGCATTACTAAAAAAAGGGATGGGGGAAAAAATCACCAACCAAACAAATAGAGATTATGACCAAACAACCAACCTTCTCTGTGTCACAATTTCCTAGCTGGGGGATACAATCCTCACACAAAGCGGTTAATGTGTTGCCTTATGTGATAAGAGGTACATAGTCTAGTGGGAAGGGATATTATGGCAGTGTTGGAAACAGGCTGCTTATCATCTGCTCTCCCTAAGAAATACTGAACTCTGCAAGGTCTGCACAGTATCTATGCTTTTGGGTACGTGAAAAAGCAGCAGGAATTGATGTCATGGGCAGTCAAGTTTGGAAAAATCTGGAAAAGGGGGAAGCCAGAGTTGCAGCTGTTATGAATTCATCACGATTTTGGCCCCAGTTCTAAAACAGTCACAAAGACATAAGAATCTCCACATGATTTTGAGGGAAGCAAGATCTGTAGATACATGAGTGACACATTCATACATGCGGTGTTGTTTAAGAGACATATTGAGCTTTTAGTTTCAATCCCTGCTCTTTCACTTCTGTCAGTTAACATTTCTGAGAACCTTATTGTGAGATACAACCTCATGCTGCTACCTTAAAGTAACTACAACAGACATTTTCTGGAAAATCACGTACTACTATAGGGAGTGTTCACAAGGTCATCATCACTGGGACACTCTCAGAGCTGTCACACAGCAGTTCCAGCAGCAAGGACTTGCTGCAGTGGTGCGGCTGCACATAGAAACACAGCTCGGATCTGCTGGGATCTCAGTTGGCTGTTCCTATCTCCACATCTACTCTGCCTTCCTCTGCGGTAGTTCTGCAGGCTCAGCTAATGAACGAACTTCATCCAGATGAATTTGGGTAATTTTTTGGAGGGGCATAACTGCCTTTCCACCAGATCGGATCCCAGGCTTGCCTTGCCAGATGGCAACATCAGTGTTGTTGTAGTGTAAATAACAAACAGGAAGGCATGGTCATGATCAGAGAGGAACGCAGGACTGCCCTTTTTGGTGGCAATACAGACATAAGCTGGCTTGCATTACCTGTGAAATTACATCCTTAGAAAGGTTTATAACTGCACGGCTCCCCTTGCAGGAGACCAGGCTGCTCATATTAACTGTGAGCTGCACACTTCAGAAACACCAGGTACATTGACTCCCAGCAGACAACACAGACTGGATGGTCCCACGCTGTGAGGCTGCCTGTGATCACCAGGTACCCCTTTGGTCCAGGAACAGGGCAAATCCCCAAATCTGTTCCTTTACTGTACTATAAAAGCAATTAAGCCACTATAGCAAAGATAGTGTTCAGTGCCCTTCTGTGTGTCCATGCAAGACAAATGCACATTCTGCCTTTCCCAGCCGCTCCCTCAGCCGAGGTGGAGGCAGACGAGGTCTGCATTCAGAGTGGGAATGAGCTCTGAATGTGAAGTCAGAGCTCTTCTCGGCGGTGCTAACCACTAGGACACGAGGCAACGGGCAGAAACTGATGCACAGGAAATTTCACCCGAACATGAGGAAGAACTTCTTTACTGTGCAGGGGACCGAGCACTGGAACAGAGAGGCTGTGGAGTCTCCCTCACTGGAGATATTCAAGAACCGTCTGGACACAGTCCTGTGCCATGTGCTCTAGGATGACCCTGCTTGAGCAGGGAGGCTGGACCAGATGCCCCGCTGTGGTCACTTCCAACCTGACCCATCCTGTGATCCTGTGTGTTCAGCCACTCCGACCCGAGCACGGGCGCGGCGCAGCGCAGGGCCGGCGCTCAGCAGCCAGCCTGGGCGCTTAGCTCTGGCACTTGCTCCTCTGCTCCCCGGACGGGCACTGCGCCCCTCGCGCAGCAACCGGGACGCTCTCCGCCCGGGATGCTCGGCACGGAGCCCTGCCGAGGGCTGCCAAACGCGGGCTGGGCGGCGGAGCCCGCAGCCACCTCCGCCGGCCGGATGCGGCGGGCGCGCTCCGGAGGCCGGAGCCGCGGTGGCGGTGCCGTCCCCGTCCCCTCCCTCCCCGTCCCCGCCGCCGCCATGGCAACCGCCCGTCGCCGCGCGCGCGCACCCCCTTCCCTTCCCCGCCCGCCCCCCGCGCCTCGGCCCCCCCGCCCCGGGCTGACAGAGCAGCAGCGCTGCGCCCCCTCCCCGCGCCGCTCCCGCCCGCGGACACGCACCCCCGGCTCTCCCAGGTAACGGCAGGGCCCGGTGGCGGGGCAGCCCCTCACGGCGGCGCTGCCTGCAGCGGGCGGCAGCTCGAACCCCGCCGCGCTGAGGGAGGCGGCGGGGATGAGGGGGAACCAGCGGTAGAGGCTGGCGGAGGGGTGGGGTGGGGGTCCCCCCGCTCCCGCGGAGCGTGCCGGGAAGTGTAGTCCGCGTCCCCCCGCCGGGCGCAGGGGGCTGCCGGGAGAGGCCGCGGGGAGGAACTACAGCCCCCAGCGTCCTCGGCGGAGGGGGGGGCAAATGGGTGCTGCGGAGGAGACCCCTGTGGGGAGGGGGAGGCTCGCTTTGAACGAGAGCGCTGAGGGTGCTCATCCGTCCGGAACAGCGAGGGCAAAGCCCCTGTGCCGCCGCCGGGGCGGGAGGGGCTGGAAGGAGGGGCGATGCGGCAAGGCCGGCTGCGGGGGGTGGACGCGGGGCGTTGCTGGGCTCTCGGGAGGGAGGCGGGGGCTGCGCGGGGGCTCTGCGGCTGCGGAGGGGAGGCGCGAGGCGGGGTGCGGAGGTGCGCGAGAAACCCGAGTGGGGGAGTGCGGTTCGGGGGTGCGGCAGGGGCAGGATGGGTTGGGTGGCATGTGGATGCCAGTGGAGGAATCCGTTGGAGATTGAGGACAGAAAGAATACCAGGAAAGAGGCACATGGGAACGTAGGTGGATAGATGGATGGGAGAGATGTGCCGGAGGAGGAGTGACAGAGCAGATGGGAGGGCAGGGATGTGCAGAAGGCAGAGCAGACTGGAGGCCGGGTGATGGGTGCGGAGGAGGCAATGGTCAGAGTGAGGCCTGCAAAGTTTCTCCAAGTAGTTGAGTTTATAGTTTCCAGTTTCATGTGTCCTACAACCACACTTAGGCTCTGTTGGTTTTGTTGCAGTAGTTGGTCTAGCCACAGTGTTACTTTTTTAAAAATAATTTTGCTACATTTCTATTCCCCCTCCCCATTACTGTCATGATGTCAGTATTGGCATTTTTCCCTTTTTTCTCTCCATTTTCTCTGATGACAGTTCTAGTGTTATTCTTTATCTTGTATTCTCCAACAGCCATGAGGGAGAATAAAATTGCAGTTTTTCTCATATATATGATGTTCTCTCAATCTCATACTTAAAATATAAATGTTTATGTTTGGTATGTTAGAGGGTGTTATTTTTCCTTTCTGAAAATCTGTGTCTTAAAAGCATCAGTGCATTAGTACTCCCTTGTATGTGAATATTGAATGTCTACTCCTACTTCAGTTTCACGTCACAAAGCTAGATTTCTTTCCGAGGGATGTTTGATATTTATTGCAATTGCAGATTGTTGAATGGTTTCTTTTATTTGCCCTTTCCCCCACCCATGTGTCAGCTACATCCTAGGCATGCTTAGGCTTCTTGCAGCTCCTGGTACTTGCCAGCCTGCAGAAGTGAACATCGCAGCTGCAGCATGCTTCCAGGGTGCTTTGCTCTTGGAGACTTAGGCTTTTGAGCAGGTAATGGAGAGAAATGGATCCTGCCCTGAGCTAATCTCAATCTCAAGAAAGAGAACTAAATGGAAGACAAGGAAGCATCACTAGCCCTTTATCTGGTTTTCTATGTAAATAAGTGTAAAAAAAAAAAGCTTTTTCTTCTGGGGATGAGCTGAGAAATCTGAAGACTAAAAGCAGCTCTGTAGCACTAAGAACAATATGCTTATTACTGTATATTTAAAATAATATATACTGTTCTTTAGAACAATTCTAAAAAGCAAGATTCTAATTAAGAAATACACATTCTTAGTCCTAAGGACCCAATTCTTTGGAATTCAGAGAGGAGTTCAGAAGGTGGAAAAGTATTCAGGCCGAAATTCTGACCTCGTGAGTCAGGGTTATAAACACGTGTGAGTCAATTAAACTTGCAATTGTTCATGGCAGGTTTATCTGGGTTGTGGATTGGCTGCACTGGGAATGTAGCAGCAGCAGAACTGAGTCTTTGTGGAGCTGACTATGGTTTGTCAGGGCTCCTGAGCTGCAGCATGGGGGGAACATGGGTGTGCTGTGTCCAGGGCCAGGGCGCAGGAACAGTTTAACTCTATTGGCACAGAGCCCAACCTAATAAACACTTTGAACCCAAGCTGGCTCTGCACAGACCCATCTTAGGAGTCTTTGGTGGCATGTTTGCTCTACCAGAAGTGCTTACACACGATATGCAGAGAAGCAAGTGGCTCCACAAAGGACCAGAGGGATTATTGACTAGCACAGAGTTCCCCTTTGTTGAGCTCCAGAGAGGCCCTGCAGAATCCTTCCGGTATCTAGGCCCTGCATTCTGTCAGAGGAAGGATCTGTCACCTCAGGGCTGGTCCCACCTGAACACAGGCTTGGGTTTGATGTGGCACTAATGCCAGAATGCCTGGAGGCTGTGCTGTAGAGGAGAGAGATGTGTGGAGCCAGCCTGGGTCCAGCAGGGCTAAGACGCAGCATAAGCTAGCAAGCCTCTCACTGCCTGAACTGTGTGTGTATGGAGTATGCTCCCCAGAGTGCCCCACAGCATTTGTGTTAGCTGTTTCCCTTTATGTTATCCAGCCTGGCCAATGAACACCTCATTACCCCAAGTAATGGTGATGTGACCATATGAATGTGTCTGAAACTGGTGCATGAGGTGCCTGGAGAGGGATATGTTTTGCAGTCAGTTTAAGGAATAGCACAGCCGTCTCTGATTCTTCTCTTTCTAGTTCTTCAGAAAATTGTAGTACAAACGCTCTGCAAATGGCCATTTCATTCTCCAAGATACTTTGTTTGGTTTACCAAACTAAGTAAATCTCAAATTTAAATCTCTAAATTAATCTCTAATTAAAACAATGACCCACTGTTAAGTGGTTTCTTATATGTTTACTTTTAACTTGTGGTGAATTTCTTTACTTCATTTGAAGATGAGAGTTTTTTTCTCTTGCATTTAAAGTAACTCTCTGTTTCAAGTTAGCTCTCAGAAGATTTCACACAAAAATAGTTTGAGACCTGCACGCATACTTCTTCTCCTTCCCACTTCCATACACATTGCCCCGTTAACTCCACATCTGCTATTGCAAAACAGAGTTTCAGTGCAAAGAAGCCAAAAAACAGCAGAAAGCAATTAGCTGACTTGAGAGATCCCTCGGTGCTGGGTTTCCTGGGCTGTAGTATGTGTGTGTATGTTTTATCTGGTGTGTGTGCCGCTTCGAAGAAGGCCAGGGCATGAACACTCCAATGGCAACCCCCAGGGCCGCCGCTGCAGTTGTAGCCGTTCGCGTCACTGCTGATGCACACAGCAAAAGGAAGAAAATAGCACTGGCACAGCACACTTCTCATCTCATTTAAATGTAGTTTAAATCCAATTCTACTGGAACTGAGCCACTTTCTTACTTATAGATATATTTTTAACACGAGTTCTGATCCTGTGAGGTCATGATCGTTAGCTTCCACACCAGTCCATGGGATCACAGCTGCATGTGTAAACAAAGCCATGTTAACAGGGAAGAGATGGATTTGGCTGTGGAACTTGGCAAGCCTTTTGTTTGTTTGTATTTTATCTGACAGTGATCAGTTAAAATGTTGGTTTTGTCGTGCAAACGTAATGTCTGATAACTGTCAGCAGCATCAGTGATTGCATCTGAACAGGGACAATTAATTATTAGAAATGAAGACCAGTTGTTCTGCACCCAAGTCCAAAATAAAAGGAATAATCTCTATAATAAAGCAGGAAAGTCTTATTTAATTTTCTTTTTGAACAATTGCATTTTTAATAACTTATTCTTAAAAATCAAATTAAATACATGAAGCACATGAAAAAAATACAGTCTGTATTTCAGTCAGAAATAGACTTCTGTAGGCTTCTAGTAGGAACTGCGCATCATGCAGGGAAAAAATACTTTTTTCTTCCTCTGACAATGGTCCAGTTAGTATTGCTGTTTATGCTTTTCCAGGTAAGGCATTGTCATATAGTTACATATCTCTATTTTAACAACTTCTAACTTTGAAGAGGAAACTGAAAAGAGGATCATTGTACTGTTTGAAGCAAAGACATAATTGAGTGAGAGGAAGCTAAAACTGGTCAAAGCTGGCTTACAAAACCAATATGGCCTTAACCTGAGAAGTGCAGGTTTCAGTTAATTGCAAGGAAAAGCTTCCAAGCAGTAAGAGGAATTTGTTGAAAGAACAACCTCAGTTCATTGCTTAGACTCTGGTAATGGAAATGGGTGCACACAAAAAGTGGATAAATCTGAAAATCAATACCTCTTAACACTGGAATTCACTTCCTTGCTTTGCTCTGTGTGGCAATTGACCTGTTCTGGTGTTGTACAGTGGCAGAGGATCATCCTGAGTCTGTCTTGTAGAAGTGGAAAATGTATAGTCATACCTCAGCACTGTATTCCTGAAGATGGTGCCTAACAGAGTGACTCTGTCTTGTAACATTAGTCGTATCTCTTACACTGCATTTTGGGGTGCCCGACATTGTGCTGCACAGCTGGTTTATGGAAAATGAGAAACAGAATCAGTCACCAATCTTCATCCATGTATGTTCAGGCCATTCCAGATGTTCAGTACTGCGGAACTGCTATGATGTGAGAGCACATGTCCAGCAATCTCAGGGAGTTGTGGAACATTTTTGTTTTGCCTGGGTAAAATTTTGATCAGAGAAAGACACGTCCAGAAAAATCCAGGTATAGTATAGCCCTATCAGTGAGGAATTAACATCTGATTTGGAGAAAAGTCTGATTAGCAGACATTAAATAAAGCTTGGTGAGTCTATTGAAACAATGAGAGTAAAGCAAAAAAGAGTAACACCTCATTATATGAGAGTCATCTATCCTGTTCAAGAGTTGAATGCCTGTGGAGAAAATGGGATGCAGTTGTGTTACCGATTGTGTCAAAACGCATGCATAAAAAAGACATGTGAAGATAGCAGAGATGCCTTCTGTTTTGGCACTTGCAGAGTGATGTTCGGGATCAAACAATAGGATGAACCCTACTACAGACCCCCTCTATAGGGGAGGGCATTTACTGCCTTTGGTACCTCTGTGGTGAGGTAGTGCTGAGGAACATGGGCTGAAGCGGGTCAGTCATACTGTATTCATTCTCACTGGTGTTGCAGACAAGTTTGCTAAGCAAGCTGTCCCCC